GGTCACACTGACCAAAGGTCATTCAGCAATGTTACTGCATCACTACAGCCGGGATTTTGGAGTTGGTGACTCGCACAGGACACTTCTTGAACCTTCTCCGACCTGCTTGGCATCGTCTTACATTGCTGCTTGGTTATTATCCGAGTGTTGTTTGGGGAAGAGGGGCAACTCGTTCTTTCTTGACACTGTGTTTACTTTTGATTACTTTTTTATTTTATTTTTTATTATTTTTGAAGTGAACCTGTCATCTGTTACAAATCGTTATAAATTTTCCTTATGGAAGTTCAGTTGTACGCTGCTCAAGCTAAACAAAGTTTTATATTTACAGTGTGTGCTCAAAAAGAAAAATCACTGCATTCTACGCATGGGTGCTGAAGCATCATTTTGGGTGACATCAACCAGGATGCTGAAATAAGCAGATTTACGGCATGCTTGGCAGTATGAGGGCAACCGTTTTATGAGGCTACATAGGGTCTATGAGGCCTATTGTTCCAAGGTGCTAAAACCGCCTTTTTATTTTAGACAGTCCTTTGCCATCATCAGTCTTGTTAAAGTGAATGTACAACCAAAATGTATTTTTTATTGTTTTGTAACGTAGGTAAGGCTTGGAACCTGTTGGATTGTTATCGCTATTTTGGGCTTCGTTTTAAGATTTTACTCCACTTCCTGTCAACCGTTTTCAGTACACAGTGTTGGAGATTTAACCTCACTTCTAAGGCAGGCAAAAATGAAAAACACTTGGAGCGGAATTTCTCAGAACTGGAGCAGCCGGAATGTGCAACTGTTGCACATTGCAACCAATCCGCTTCTATCATTAATTTTTCAAAGCTTATGTGAACAAACTGAAGAGAGAAGCTGATTGGTTACTATGGGCAACTGCTCTAGATTCTGTCTGCTCTCAGTGTTGATAAATTCCCCCATTGCTTTTTTTTTTTTTCTTCTCCACCCATTGTCATGGGGAGATCCCTAGATAGCAGTAGAAACCCAACAGCGTTCTAATCTTACCCCCCACTCCATGGACAACCAAAGGTCCGGACATACACTTTAAAGACCTGCGTGAGAATTTAGGTACCTCCAGGACCAGGTATGTTTGATTCTGTTTAGAGGCAAACGCATTCATTGACGTCAATACGAAACCTTTTAATGCAGCTATACAGTGAGTATAACAGGTATTTACTTAACTGGTTTGTGTTTATCAAAATGAAAAGCCGTGATAGGTCCACTTTAAGAATTTTGAAACTGTGAATGTTTTATGTTCTGTTGGTCACAATGTATTGCATTGGATTGGCTGGGAATTTCTTATTATTTTTTTCTTTTTTGTAAACACTTTGCTGTTCATCTCAATGCAATCAGCAGTAGATTTATATTTTAATGAGGGAAATACAGTATTAATTTTTAAATGCATTTCTACCTGCCTTAGTCTCTTATTTTTTTTCTTTTTTTCTAAAGCTCTACTTTTATATAGAGCTTCGTCTTATTCAGCGATGCTGAGAGCAAGTTTTGTAAAGTCGTTTTCACTATAAATGCCGTTCCCCTAAATGACCACTAGATGGGGCAATATTCACACGAACCTCAGTTCTAATTCCTGACCTCACCACTATGTACGAGTGGGACTGGTTCGTGAGCTAAGGGCTTTCCTATGTTTGCAGATCATTTTAATTGTGTTTTTTTTTCTTCTTTGTATTATTTGTCATGTATAACGGGTAACATTTTCAAAATTGGGCTTTGAAGCCGTTTGCTGCAATGTTGCATTACCTTTTTATGTGTGTGTGTGTCATATTTTCTCTGTGCAATTTCCCATTTTTATATTCTGAATAGAGTAGCATAGTTTAAGTGTATTATATATGTAAAAGTGTTTTTTGTTTTTTTTTCTTTACATGTGTGACTTTAGCATATGTAAAAGAAAAATATTAAAACACACTTCTTACCTCAGACAAATAGGGCTTTTGTTGTAAGATTTGTAAGAGAAGTCATTGGACATTTCTTTTGGAGGTTTCAATCAGTTTTTTTAAAACTCTTGACTCGAGACCTGGACAATATGCCAAATTTTACATGTAAAGGATCGGATAGTATTGGAGCTTCAGATGGAAGTTCTAGAAATCTTTGGCATATATCTCCGCATATCAGATTGTACAATTGGGGACATGCATGCCCCAACTTTATGGTGCCTGAACAGGTAGGACCCTACACGGTTCTATCTGATCTTCATTTAAAGGAAAACTACTCGGATTGCAACTTGAGCTATTTTGCCAATCTTGGTTCTGAGCAAAACCAAACTTACCCATAGACATGAGATCACAGTTGGCCATTTGGGGCTAAAACAAACCTGTTGGCATCTGAAGCCGGGGCTAGCTGGTTGCTGTTGGCAGCATCTACTGGTGCCGATTCTTACCTACCCCCTCTGCCTTCTACTGATGTTACAGAGCTGCTAGAGCAAAGCACGTTTATGGAGCGCCATGCAGTTCTCCATAGGCTCCCCTAGTGAAATTAACTATGAAATCTCCATGTGTGAACCCTTTACCTGCAAGAGAGGAGTATGTTCTTTACAGAACGCAATGTGATCCACGAGTCCCGCCAGGACCTTTTTTCCGTGCCATTAACATCAATAGCTTATTGATTAGATGGTGAGGAAGCAGCAGCCCATTGACGAGGTCCTGATTGGGGTGTTAATCCTTCTGCTCACAACCTGGGGGCGGCTGAGTAGAAATAATTTTTAGGTAGTCATTACATACCAGCAGTATTTACCAATTGCTAAACCCAAACATGAACTGTCAATGTAAATCTGCTAAATTGGGCTTTGATTGCAGAGCTATAGGTCTGACTCGGCAGAAGGCATGTTGGACTGTTGCAGAGAGGCTACTGCTTCCACACGGGGTGCAATGGCTGGAAACGGCACGCTGGCAGGGGACAGCTTTGTTACTCGGGCTGTGGCTGATTTCTAAAGGAAACCAACTGTGTAAGACCTTTTCTGTGCGCAGCCCCTTTTCTATGGGAGTATGCGGCCATCCGCTGCCTTACGCTCACCCCAAGTGTAGATCCGTGCAGGTGTCCCGGCTCGGACGCAGACCGGATCTATCCTGTCAGTGTACGAGTACAGACACTAGCACAGACGTGCAGGGCGGGTGAGAGTAGGGCGGCGTACGGCCGCATACTCCCATAGAGCAGGACGTGGGCTGCATACTAATCGCACGCAGCATCTGTCCTTCCTGGGAGCTGCCCAATACAGCCGTGCACGCAGCACCGTGAGGGCCGATTCCCGTGTGAACGAGGCCTTAGGAATATAGGAAACGATAAGCTGTGCAGATCCAGTTCATTTTACAATGAACATCAACAGAGCTGGCGGAGAATTTGTGTTCCTACAGTTTTATATTTCACTCCTTAAACAAAATGCATAGTTGAGTGTTATAAAAGTCACACTTTGGAAGACATTAAGGGGTGTGTTTATAAACCTTTTGCAGAGCCATTCATCCTGCGAAGTTGCATGTACATTCGTTCTGTGTGAATGGAGGCAAAACCAAATGTTATTAGTATATTTTATTTTTAGGTCAAATGTAATATCCCAACTAGATGGAACTGAGGAGCACAGGAAAGAAGTATCTACTTCCTGTGCTCCTCGGCTCTATCTAGTGGTCACGATGTGGTATTTTCTGGATATTACATTCGACCTGGAAAGAAAAATCTGATTTATTTTTGCCTCCATTTGCACAGAACGAATGTACATACAATGTCGCAGGATCAACCGTTTTTACGTGAACTGTTTATAAATCCACCGCTAGGTTGTTGAAGGTGAAAAAAGTTCAGGAAATGACTTGCTTGTTCATTAAATGCCCCCCAGTGCCAAATCTTCTGTGTATATGTGAACATGGTTTGTATTTTTTTTACATTACCGGTACTGTATTACTGGGGTTGCCAAATGAACACCGATTTTGTGCTTCTCTGGACTACAAAAAAAAAAAAAAAAAACTTAAGAAAAAAAAAAACTGCATCCATTAACAGTTTTTTTAAGGCATTCCTTTACTTCGGTTAAGTTGACATTCCAAACACATCTTTTTGGATATGGGTAGGCGATGTTGGGTTTCTATTGCTACCTATGCTCCTAATTAGAGTTCCCGTCCCATTCCACAGGACGTGAGGGGGAAATTGCCCAGATGGTGACACCTACAGCAATAAAGAGATGACCGAGTATACATGTTTTAGTTGGGAGTTCCACTTTAAATGAACTCGCATCGGCCATTTCTTTTCGGTAAGCTTTAGCCACGTGTTTCACCATTTCAGTTGACTTAAACCTTTTCTGACTTTTCAGCCATTGTAGGAAGGCGTTTTCTTTACATTGGCTGGCTTGGCACTTCTTCTTGAGCACTTTCTGAGCAAGTGGCTTCTGAGACAACTACAAGAAGATGCTCGGCCACCGCTTGATAAGAAAATGGCTTCTTCCAACCCATTCTGTTCTGACCCATTGGGAGTTTGCAGAATATTAAATGTATATGATTCATGAAAGAATCTGACAACCACTGTCCAGTCATGCACAATGGCAAACAAGATGCTCAATTTTTGGAGGCAAGGGCGGAGCTATTTCAATGAGAAATCTATTT